CCGTGCACGGTAGGCACCAGGTCAGCCGGTGCAGCACGAAAAGACCTGCGCAGCAGATAGCACGGTAGGCGCAAAAAGGTGCAGCAGGTGTGCAGAAGGCGTGTATGCTGCTGCTTGTGTGGGTGTCCTGGTGGTGAGCCACTCCAGGGGAAAGGGGGTAAACTTTGCGTTCTGCTGCCAAACTGTAGGGAAAGTGCGAGGCAGGGGTGCGGTCAGCGAGGCACCGCACAATAGCCCCCCAGCGTATGGCGCGTCCCGATCATGAAAAAGCCAGGCACGCGCGGGGCATGCTGAAATGAGCAGCTCTCCACCCAGAAGACACTGACACTGCCGGGGGTCTGGGGAACGCAGTGCGCCGCCGGTGCTGGGCTGTCCACGCAGTCGCAGTGTCCTGGCGGGGATCAAAGGAACAAGTGTGCGGCAAGCAGCGGAGTGCACAAAGCGAGTGGGGTATCCCTGAAATGAAAGCCTCCCATATCAACAACACTGGAGTCGTGGTCGGCCAATGTCACCGTCTCACTCGGGGCAGTGGCACTGGCCAGTGTGCGGCAAGCGCTGGTACCGTAATAAGCACACTCCGCACCGTCATTGGTGTACAGCGGACATTATGCGTGCTTGGCAGCGAACGCTTTGGTTGGCCCGTCCACGTCGCCACAGGCCCAGCATGTGGTGTCTACGGAGATCGCTCGTGCATGTGACGGTGATACTGCTGGTTCTCAACACGCTGGGCGGGGTCTTGTGTGCCAGGTGCGCAGACCTGGGTGGCCGGGGATGGCATGCAAATCCGGATCGGAGCGAGCGCCTGACACGTCCAGTTTGGCACATACAGTTGTATAAAACAGTCACTGCCATGCACCGGCAGGCTCCACTACTTGCACATGGAAGCCTTTCACACGCCAGCAGTGGATGACACCCCACTTACTGTCTGTGAGCTACTTGTACACACCCCAGCTGGTGTGCTCGTGTTGTTGACCTACAATGCGTGCCCCTGCACGCCTCCACTTCAGCTGTCTTAACAGCATGTGCGTGCAAGTCGTGCTGACCCACACCGCGGTCCTCTTGCTGCTCCCACCTCTTGGCACCCCCCGCAGCCCTCAAGCGACCCCCAAGAAGAAGCTGGCGGTGGTGAGTGACGCTTGCCAAGCGAGGCCTTGCTGCGCAGCTGAAGGCGCAAATCAGCTGGTCGCTTACTTTGCCCCAGCATAGAGGCCATGCATGTAGGCATGTGCCTTGCGGCCATGTGAGAGTGCCCGCCCGCCCCGCGCTGTGTGTGTGTGTGTGTGTGGTTTCCGTGAAGCCAGCATCATGCTGTGCAGGCAGGAACCAAAA